ACAGACACAACCCCCCTTGGGCTTGAACTGTCCCCTTTCAGTCAGGACATTGGGCTGCCTTTCCAGAATCGGGTACATTGAATATGATTGCTTTCTTCCACCATCAACCAGTGTGTACTGGTTTCCTCCTTGTGATGCCTGGTGCTGCAAGCAGCACCCCAGGCATGCATTGAGTTGCTAACCATAAGGTCAGTTGTTCCAACCCACCAGCTACTCTGCGGCTGTCAGACTTCCAGTCTACCCCTGTAAAGACTTCCCGTCTCGTAAACCCACAGGGGAAGTTCTACTCGGTCCCATAGGGCAGTTATGAGTCGGAATAAACTCAATGGCAGTGAGTTTGAATTTTTGGTTTTCCGCTTCAAGCTGAGGCTGTGAGCTGTGGACCAGAAAAGCAGGTTACATTGTTTAATAGGATGTTGTCTGGCTTTGATGGTGCTGCGAGATTTTCTAGCTATGTGGGTAGTACAGGTTAGAGGGTATACAGGTTACTCAGAAGATCCTGGCTACCCATCTGCTGGTCCCTGATGGTTAGGTGGGACACACGCTCCCTCTGCCCCCCCCCGTTTGACATTCCTGCTGACAACTGGCCCCTGGGCTATTGAGTCCAGAGCCAGGTGTGTGGCAGGTACCCAGTCGGAGCTTTCCTGCTGAGTGATGAAAGGGTTGGACCTGTCAGCTAATGTGTTCTCAGGGAACAGTCACCAGACTGTGCACCCCGGTGTGTCAGGACATGGCTGTGACAGGTGGGTCTTGGCCTGGCAGGTGGCCTCTACGGGGACATTGATAGACATTCAGTCTGGTGCCTGCAAGGGAACAGCAAGGGCCCAGAGGGTAGGCGTTCTCTCGTGCTTGCTCCCTGGAGGCCTGGGTGAAAGGAGTATAGCCCCTTCCTTCAGAATGTCAGCGTCCCTGCAGGGAGCCTACCTCCTCCAGCCAGCATGTGCTCATGGCTGCCCTCAGACCGCTGTCTCACAGCAGGACAAATGACCCCACAGGTTCCCAAGGCATGCATTTATACATACTGCTAGAGTGTCACCAGCTAGGGAATCCCTGCTTCTCCTGCAACACAGACACAGATGTCCTTACATACATACGTAATGTACACACACATACACACACACACCTGTATATAGCAGCTGCGCGTGGTTTCTTGTTTCTTCCTCTCAGGGACCATTTCAGTGCTTCTCTGTAATTGGAGGCCCTGCCTGTACTGCCCACTGGACTCAGGTGTCTATGAGGTCAAGGACATAGAGGGTCTCAGCTGATCCTCAATGGTTATTGAATGGCTGAGTGCAGGGGTAAATGAATTCTGGATGGGAAAGTGGCAAGGTTGGAGAAATGAGGACCGCCAGGCTGGGCCTGAGGCCAGCTCAGCCTGCCTCGACTGCTTTGGCCCTGGGACAGCACACCAATTACCCCAGCTCTTTCCAAGAATTCCCAGTCCCTCTTCTTGCTCCGAGTGAAGGAGCTGGCATGGGTTCTGACTGGCCCATCACAGTGGCTCTGGCTGTGCCTGCGGGTGGAATCCTGGGCTGTGAAGCTACAGAGGACTCTGAGATACTTGTCTGGGGCAGCCTTGCTTTCTGGGGCTGGGGCGTCTCTCTTCTGCTCCTGTGGCATCCATTCCCAGAGGGGCAGAAGCCTGCAGCCCCCATTCTGAAGGAGACTACTCCTCACCCACTCTTCCTTTCCCTCTCTCTGCTTTTCCCCAGACCATGAGCAGGTCCATCAGCAGGGACCGGAGTCTGGGTTGGTCCATGTGGACATGTAGGATGGGGTGCCTGGTAGTTGGGGTAGCTTTTGATTGGTGATTTCAATACCTCCAGGTCCTGGGTGGCAGCCAGAGACCCTTCCGACTCTGAGGCATTCTTAGGGGGGAGGTTCTTGGACTTGGGCAAAAGCTGAGCTTGGGTCATATGAGGTTGGAGTGGGGGGCTGTCCTTCATGGCTGTATGTCCCTGTGGGCTGTGTTTGTAGTGCATCAGCAAGCATCTGCTCATCTCTTCCTCCACTTGGTCAGCAGTGCTCTGGGCTCAGGGCTGCATCTGTGGGCAAGCTAGATGTGCCCACAGTGCCCGCAGTGCCCACTGCGAGCCTTGCCACCATGGTCTGTGCTCCAAGGGAGAAGCTAGGGTGCTGACACAGAAAGGGAAGAGGGGTGCTGCCTTCAGACAGGGTGGCAGAGAGGACCCTGGCAAGAAGGGATCTGTGAGTTGAGGCCTGAATGACAAGGAGGAGCCAGCTCTGCAGAGGAGCTGAGGTGGTACATGCTGTCTCTCTCCATCTCTCCTCAGCGGGGCCTCAGCCAACCTGAAGACCAATTGCTTAAGGAGGTTTAAGAAGCTTTGCTGATTCTGAGGGGGGAAATGATTTGAACAGATTTTTTTTTTAAGTCCATGCCCCAACGCAACTTGAGAACTCCCTGTGTTCATGACGTGGCAAGTCGAGCATTACTGGTTCAGCATGAAGGGGGGCTGGGAGCTCAGAGGCTGGCTTTCGTCTTGATGCCCCCTCATCCACCCTGATTGGTTGCCTGTCTGCACTGCACATTCGTCCTCCCCTCCCTCCTGCTGAATTTGCATCAGCTCATCAGCAGCAACCTGAAAATAGCCCATCTTCCTGGACGCGTGTCTTCTGAGCTGGCCAACTGGGCAGCTGTTGGAGGTGGGCCAACTGTGTTGGCTTTGGATGTTTCAAACTTCCACAGAGCTCCTGGGTGGCATTCTGCTTGTTCCCATGTGGTTTCAGGATCATGCCCCAGACTGGTCCATAGCTGGAGGGGGAAACTGGCACAGCTGGAGGACAGGGCTGGGAAGGCAGAGAAAGAGCTGTGGGTAGCTCCCTGGGAGCCATGGTCCCCTGCCAGAGCAGTCCTGTTTCAGCTGCCTCTGTCCACAGCCCCTGGTCCTTCTTGCTGGGCAGGGGTCCCTGAGTGCAGGGCTGGTCGATCTTGCCCACCATGTGTCTTCAGGGCCTGGCATGGAGGGGATGCTCAGCAGGTTGAAGGAATGAATGCAAGACTCTCCATGAGAGCTGAGTTCTTGCTGGCCACTCTCCCAAGTGAGCTTTTCTTCCCCCGCGAGTGCAGCCTGCCACCTCAAACAGAAAGGAATGATGGTGTGGAAGTCATCCTTACCTGTGGGTGAGTCTGCGAGCCCCTGTGAGCAGCTGTGAGTGGAGTCACCGGCTGGCCCCGAACCACCCTGCAGCCCTGTGGCCACCTGGAAGCCAACGGCTATGTTTCTTTTCTTTTCCTCCTGCAAGATGGGATTGCAGCCCTCTCTTCTTGCCAAGGAAGCCAGGATTCCCGTTGGAGGACATCCATGACAGGTGTCGGCATCCTGGCAGGAGGCCCTGCAAGCTGCAGGCCCAGCCCCTGCTGGGGCCCAGTGTGGTTCCTCCACAGTTGAGCTTTGTCCCCAGAGGGGGCCGCTTGGCCCAGGAATCAGTTATGGCTGGGGCTGAGCTTGCGCCTGGACCACATGGCCGGCCACCACTTCTATCTCCATGTTGGGATGAAGAGAGGCTAGATGTGCAGAAGTTTGCCAGTGGCAGGGAATGCATTTGGGCTCCTTCAGGTGGAAGACAGTCAGGAAACCCAAGGGCAGGTGACACAGGCTCACTGTGTGTCAAAGTGGCTCCCTCCCACAGGTTTCATGGCCCAGGGCTCCCCCCACCCCTCTCCCTGTAATGGTCTGGATTTAGTTTCTCTGTCTGGCTGGGGCAGGGGCAAAAAGGACTATTAAAGACAATTATGCAAGCTCGCTTTGAGTGTTAGTGTTTAACAAACAGCTTTGAGTTCTAATTTTCTGCAAAACACATACTGCAGGTACAATTTGTACTCATTACTGTGTATTGGGAAAGTTATTAAAAACACTCAAACTTGGGTGAGACTTCCTATGGCAGCGTCCCTGGATTTTAATTGGTTTTTATCTCGTTCTATAAAAGATCTCTTTAAACCCAATCAAAGTCCCTGCCTCAGCTATCTTGCCAGATGAAGGACAGGGAGGCGCCATCGTAGGTGCTACGTTTTCACCCCCATGAAAATGTGCCCATCCCAACAATCAATTAAGATCCCGTCATGAGATAATTTGTACTTCCTTTGACGGGCACAGTTACCAAATGACAAAATAACAGTGTCGCGCAACATAAGGGTTAAATCTTAATCTCAGAGGTTTGCATAGCCGCTCCTCGCAGTCTCCTTAAAATTTAATATACCTCGTTAATGCTTCCTTGCAAACACTGAAGGATTTTTATGATTATAATCATGTGTTACAGCACCTAGTACTGTTTCTAAGCAGCATACTAATCAGCTTAATGAGATATTACTGCACTTTTTGTTGACTAAAGCAAAATCCCTTTTATTGTTCGAAAGCCTGTCCTTTACTTTATTCCTCACCCCCCCAAACATTATCTTGTTTTATTATGTACCAGTAAATATCATGCCATTGGATTTGTCTTTCTTCCATTTCTTGGCCAAATCGCAAAATGATCTCTTTCGTCTCAAAGCCGGTGAATGTATTGAATTTCGTAACTGGGAAGGAAAGTTCCAAGTGGGAGCTTGCTCTGGTCTTGCAGTGGAAGCCATTCCGCTCTCAGGCAAAACTTGGGAGCTGCACCAACAGGTAGAGGTGCTGCGATGGGGAGGGAAGGGGCAGGGAGGGGCGGGGCGAGAGGAAAGTTAAACACCATAGACCCTTGATTTGTTATTAGATGTCGAACTTGGTAAAACATGAATAATTTAAAAGAGAATGACTAATCGCAATCTGTAAATAGAAAATACAAGGAAGACTATCTATCCCCCAAACAAATGGGAGGAGCATGGCCATATTGCATAATTGGCATTTAATAATTCATTTTTCATGATTGTATTTGACGCTAATTCCTTAGCATTATGATGGGTGGGTAAGGCATGAAGTGCAAAGTCCCCTCCAGCCGAGGCTGTGGCCTCTCCTGAGCCCGGAGCCTGGCACCTCGCTGACCTCTCTCTTTCCTTCCAGGGATGGAAGAAGCGAGCCTGTGCCTTGGCGTGTCCTCGGCGGTGCCCGAAGCCGAGCCCCGCCTGGGCGGCCCCATCCTCAATGGGCAGTATGCCATGAGTCAGAAGCTGCACCACATCACCTCGCAGCTCAGCCATGCCTTCCCCGAGCTGCACCCACGGCCCAACGCTGAGGAGAAGACCTCCGCGCCCCTGGAGGAGAAGGCCCACGTCCCCATGAGCGGCCAGCCCATGGGCAGTCAGATGGCGCTCCTGGCCAACCAGCTTGGCCGGGAGGTCGACACCAGCCTCAATGGGCGCGTGGACCTGCAGCAGTTCCTCAACGGGCAGAACCTGGGCATCATGTCCCAGATGAGTGACATTGAGGACGACGCGCGCAAGAACCGCAAGTACCCATGCCCTCTCTGCGGCAAGCGCTTCCGCTTCAACAGCATCCTCTCCCTGCACATGCGCACCCACACTGGCGAGAAACCCTTCAAGTGCCCCTACTGCGACCACCGGGCGGCGCAGAAGGGGAACCTCAAGATTCACCTGCGGACCCACAAGCTGGGCAACCTGGGCAAGGGACGCGGGCGCGTGCGCGAGGAGAACCGCCTGCTGCATGAGCTGGAGGAGCGGGCCATCCTGCGGGACAAGCAGATGAAGAGCAGCCTGCTGCAGCCCCGGCCCGACCTGAAGCCCCCGCTGCACGCCCAGCAGGCCCCCCTGGCCAATTGCAACCTCGCCCTGCCGGCCAACCACGGTGCGCCCGACGTCACCAACCCGGTGCCCTCGCCCAAGCCGGCCAACGTGCAGGAGGACGCGGCAGCGCCGGCCGCCGGCTTCCGCTGCACCTTCTGCAAGGGCAAGTTCAAGAAGCGCGAGGAGCTGGACCGCCACATCCGCATCCTGCACAAGCCCTACAAGTGCACGCTGTGCGACTTCGCCGCCTCGCAGGAGGAGGAGCTCATCAGCCACGTGGAGAAGGCCCACATCACCGCCGAGTCGGCCCAGGGCCAGGGCCCCAATGGTGGCGGGGAGCAGGCGGCCAACGAGTTCCGCTGCGAGGTGTGCGGGCAGGTGTTCAGCCAGGCGTGGTTCCTGAAGGGGCACATGCGAAAGCACAAGGACTCCTTCGAGCACTGCTGCCAGATCTGCGGCCGGCGCTTCAAAGAGCCCTGGTTCTTGAAGAACCACATGAAGGTGCATCTCAACAAGCTGTCGGTGAAGAACAAGTCCCCCAGTGACGCTGAGGTGGCCGTGCCCATGGGCAGCATGGCCCAGGAGGCCCACGCCAACCTCTACTCCAGGTACCTCTCCTGCCTGCAGAGTGGCTTCGTGGCCCCGGACAAGGCCAGCCTCGGTGAGCCGGGCCAGCTCTTCGGCAAAGGGGAGCTGCCCGTGAAGGAGAAGGAAGTCCTGGGCAAGTTGCTGTCGCCCCTCTCCAGCATGGCCCACAGTGTCCCTGAGGGGGACAAGCACTCCCTCCTGGGGTGCCTCAACCTCGTGCCCCCGCTGAAGTCCAGCTGCATTGAACGGTTGCAGGCAGCGGCCAAGGCGGCGGAGATGGACCCTGTGAACAGCTACCAGGCTTGGCAGCTCATGGCCAGGGGCATGGCCATGGAACATGGCTTCTTGTCTAAAGAGCATCCGCTCCAGCGCAGCCACGAAGACACTTTGGCAAACGCCGGCGTGATGTTTGATAAGGAGAAGCGGGAGTACATGCTAGTGGGAGCAGATGGCTCCAAGCAGAAAATGCCTGCTGATCTGGTTCAGAGCGCTAAAGTGGGCAATCAGCGAGACCTGCCAAATAAGCGCGACCCTTTAGAAGGCAGTCGGGATTTTTTGTCACACGGCCTGAACCAGGCACTGGAATACAGCCTGCAGGGACATGGGAATCTGAAGGAGAAGCCCACCGAGTGCCCTGACTGTGGCCGGGTCTTCCGCACCTACCACCAGGTGGTCGTGCACTCCCGGGTGCACAAGCGGGACCGCAAGGGGGACGAGGACGGACTGCACGCCTGCCTGGACGAGAGGCGTGGCTCTGGCAGTGACCAGGAGTCCCAGTCGGTGAGCCGCTCCACCACACCAGGCTCTTCCAACGTCACCGAGGAGAGCGGGGCCGGTGGCGGCCTCTCACAGCCCGGGAGTGCCCAGGAGGACAGCCCACACCCCTCCTCACCGTCCTCCTCAGGTAGGTAGGTGAGGAACATGAGGGCACCCCCCACCCACAGGGGGAGGAGCAGGGTCAGGGGGCCCCCCTGCCTCTGGCCGCCTGCTTCTGAGCTCAGGGGCCTCTTCTGAGAAGGGCCTGGTGGCTCTTCTAAGTCGGCCCTGAGGTCACATGGCTGGATAGGGCACGGTGGTGGGCTGGGTGCTGGACAGCTCCCAGGCTGCTCTGCCCTGAGAAGGCTGCGGTTTAGCATCTTGGTCTTCCTTGAGCGACGGCTCCGAAGAAAGGAAGTTGATCCTTTCTTCTTGTGGTGGCCGTGGCCAGGAGCCCCTCTTCCCCACGGGCATGGCCTGCTCCAATTGTGCAGCCACCTTTCGTGCCAAGACCACACCTACCCTCGCTTCGTCTCTGCGTCCCAGGATGGGCTTTGGGCTCCACCCAAGGGGTGAATGTGCACGTTGAGACCCTCACCATCTTTCCCGTAGAGCTCTTCCCCCAAATCCCACACCTGGACACCCGGGCACCCTCCAGACACCAAACCTACCTCGTGCCTCCATCCAATCCTACAACAAATGGCCCCACCAGTTGC